CAATTACAATATATGTAAGTTTTTTTTATCAAAAAGTATGACATATTTGGTATGTATAGAAAGATTATTTTAACTACTATTATAATCTGGTAAAAGTAATGCGGCTATAACAAATCTTCAAGCGTAGTTTTATTTAGAAAAGATGCAATTTTTAACATAAAGTACCTTGGGGCTTGGCTACAGGTAAGTCTATGAACTTAATTTTTTGATAAAATTAGTAACTTCAATTTTATGAAAATTGAAGTTACAACTTTCAGTACCACACCTAAATGAGTATGTTAAACATTATTGTTGTTATTATGTTACGCTAGATTCAGATAACCTATGGTAGTGTTAATTTTTCTACTAAAGTCGTTTTTGCATAAATAATCATAACTTTTAGCCCCATTTAAAAAACTGTTTTCAGTATTAATGTGTGATTATTTGAAATACTCGGGACTTATTCGGCCATCTTGAAATAATAAGTTATTGCATTCAGAATGCGTGAACAAATAAAAAACAGAGGCAAAAAATATATAAATAATTTACATTGAATTCGAATACTTTATTTTCATTAATTAAATACCAATAAATAAATAGTTTTCGGTTTGTCACTAACAACCAATCGGATTTGTTTTAAATTATCGGCGTTTTTTTTACGAGTTTGTTTGTTCTATGCCTTAAGCTTGGTTTCCAATAGTTGTAGAAATGTCGTACAACAGTTGTACAACACCTTTGTTTTATAATGGAAACATTTTATACCGTAAGTTGCACAACTTTCCATCGGTTGTACAACAAAACTCATGTTGTACAACTCCGGTTGTGAGTATTGAAAAAATTCTATTTCTGCAACCGTTTTTTTGGTCGCGCAGTTAATTTTTTATTGGAAACTGCACAAAAACTGTAAAGTTAATAAAACATCTTCATTTTTTACAAAACATGACGACAACTCCGTTATGTGTGTTTGAAAAACTATCTAAAGCAGCTTTTATGAATGAAGTTCAAAAATTTCTAGTATTGTATGACAAGTTTAGTAAAGATTTTAAAGATAAATGGAAAAAGAAAAATGCATGGGAAGAAGTTGGTCGCCTTACAAACTTATCTCCTAATCAAGCGGGAGAGAAATATAAAAGCATTCGAAGTAGTTATGGAAGTGGCTGAAATCAAAAAAAAATATTCTATCTGGTTCTGGAAGGAACTCAGTTCCACCTCAGTTTCTTCAGCTCGATTGGCTAAATACTTTTATAGAACATCGCGAAATAACAACCAGTATTTATTTACCTTCTGACTCCAGATTAGAAACATCGAATTTGGAAGAAAACATTGACATGGTATGTGAGCAAATTGAAAATACTCATCATCCATTTAATAATGATCATATATCTGAAGATGTGACCACAGTAAACAGCTGTATAAATACTTGCGTGCAAGGAGAGTCAAGTGAGTCAACAATTCACGCTAATAACAAAAAGTAAAAGAAAAAAGTTGGATTCTGATGATATACTTGATAGAACCTTAGTGAAAACATTAGAAAAAATTAACTCCCATATTGAAAATCCGACTCTTGAAGAGCAGGATGAAAATTATTTATTTATGAAATCATTAGTTCCGCAACTTAAGCGATTAAACAACTATTCTAAAGCCTTGGCTAAAGTTCAAATACAAACATTACTTCTTAAATTAGAGTTTCCAGACAGAGGTGAAACTATTTAGCCTATTACTCTACTTAACTGGTCAATGTGGAAAAAATGTACTTTAGAAGTAAATAAACTATGAAGTAACTGTTGATAATTTGTTTAAAAAGACACATTCTGGCATACTATTCTTTTTAACTTATTGATGCAAGAAACATAACATTTTAAGTAAAATTAGATGTGAAGTTACTTTTGATTAATCATTGAAATAGACTAAATTTAGCTTACTATTTTGTTAAGTCTATTGATGTGATAAACTATAACTTATTTTAGAAAATCATGGAGGTATAAAATGTTAATCTTTTATTAATTATTAGGTAACTGTTGAAGTATATCTTTAAACTATATATAAAAAAAATGTAAATTATTGGTTTGTTAAATATAACATATTTTCTTTTATTAGGAAGTTTTGTTTATTACATACATTTTAGTTATTAACTGGATTGTGGCCACACGATTGAACATAGTCTATTTGCCACGAAAGGCTTCCTCCACATAAATTAAAATAATCTTTATAAGTATTTCTTATTGCAATTGCATCAAAAACAGATCCATTACTTGTTGATTTTGACAAATCAAGCAAACACCCTTGATCTTGTAGTTCTTTTCTCCAATCTCCTTGAATAACAATTCCTGAATGACTTTCACTATCAACAAAACAAGTAGGAATATAATGCGCTCCATCGCAAATAGTCGTGAAGACAAACAGTAGCCTTTATTATATGTTCCACTTTCAATGGCTTTGCTTTAATTGGAGATCTGTATATTCTCCATCTAGCTGCTAAAATTCCAAAACTATTTTCGATTGTTCTACGTGCTCTAGATAAGCGATAATTAAAAACTCTTTGCTGAACAGTAAGATTTTTACCTGGGTACGGTTTCATTAACCATGGTTTAAGTGCAAATATGTCATCTCCAACAAGGACCGGTGGAACTTTAGGATCAAATTCAGAAATGTTTGATAAATTAAAATAACCCTTTTTAAATGCCCTCCCAAACGTGCTCGCATTTAAAATGGCAGCATCATTATCCCTTTCATAAGCCCCAATGGACGGCTGTTTCACTCAATGTAAAAATGGGCATTACGTCACGAGTTTAGCAAAAACAATTTCCGCATAAACAGTATTTTATAAAATTCGGCATATAAAGTATAAAAATGTACAAACTTTAAAATAATAGCATTTTTTTTCTGTAATCGCTTTTATCTTCAAATAAAAAATATATAGAAGAAATATCTTTTCTTGTTATATAAATATTTACATTAAACGTAAATAAAAGTAAATATTGTTAAAATATTGCTATTGATTTGGAATCACTTTTCTGTTTTTTGCGATTTTTACAAAAAACCTGTCTTGGGCCAACTGAGATTTCATAACATAGCTACATGCTTGATGATTGAAATTTGGAATACTTATCAATAAATGTCTATTCTAACTGATTTTTGGTGCAGAGTTTGTAATTTATTTTAAAAAAATTAGTTTTCAATGCATTTATATTTTTAATTTTATCGATTTAAAGGGCAAATCGTATTATTTTTGGCACCAAATTATTGAAATTTCAACCCTTTCTTTATATAAAAATCAAAAAATTATAATATGTACCTCTAGCTATGTTATGACAAACAAATTTTTCTAGTTTAATGTGTAAATTTTGGTTTATATTTCAAAGCAGTCACGTGACGTTGAGTACTTTACGTAAAAAAAAAGAAAGTATTTTGGGATTTTTTTATTTCGCCTATTGTAGTGCCTGTATCAGTTCGCATTTGGTGTAAATAATGTTAATGTGTTTTATAATTAGTCTAGCTATGTTTATATTACATATTAGTTAGAAGAAATGAAATTTTTCTGATTAATTTTGCTAAAAAGTACCATTAAAATTTCGAAATTCTGCCAAGTTCGTCATTTTGCGCGTTTATTTAAAATCAGAGCAGCCTTAGATTATTTTATTGAATGATAAAATATAAAACATTTAGTCAGTGTTCATATTCTTTTTACAGAACGTATTTATCTTTAATATTTCAATAGTTATGAAAGTTTTAGTAACACCCTCTAAGTAACTATTTTCAAAAAAAAAACAAGAAGCCGTATGTCCACTCTGAAACAGCCGTGAATGTCAACCATTGTAAAACAATATTTAGCATCACAAATTGCTAATAAAACCATGCTGTAAAACCCTTTGTAGTTATAAAAAGAAGACCCAAATTTTGCAGGTGCTTCAATGCGTACATGCTTTCCATTAACAGCTCCTATACATTGTGGAAAGTTCCAATTTTGATCAAACTCTTTAATAATATTTTGCCATTCTTTTACGTCATTTGGGGCACGTAGAAAGACTTTCTTGAGAACTTTCCATTTTGCACAACAAGTTTCTTCGATTATATGGCAAACTGTAGCTCTGCCAACTCGAAAATAAAATGACTGAGTTTGTTGTGATTCTTCTGTATCGGTACAGGAGAATCACAATATACTCAGTCATTTTAGGTATCGAATTGTTATAATTAGTCTTTGCGACGGACATATAGAATCTCTACTGGGACAATACTTTTTTGTTAATGAAGATCCAATTAATGACAAAAGATGTTCAAGTCTGTCAGGAGACATTCTTAAATATCGATAAATAAATTCTCTATCAAATAGCTTCAATTCTTTCACCAAAGAACTAAATGCACCTTGCTGAACACGTTTTTTAAATAGTTCTCTCACCCAAAACTGATGTTTTCTTTTTTTTATCCTTTTTCGGCGTTTTAAAATTAAAAGTATAACAAAAAGTCGATAGTTTAGAGTAGCATAATTTCTAGTGGCGGCCATTTTTTTTTTGTTATTATATAAAAAATTTAGCGGCAATTCAGTATAATGGAAACACAACGTTGCACAACAATTTACCGCACAACAAATCAAATGTTTGTTGTACAACTGTTGTATGACATTTCTACAACTATTGGAAACCAAGCTTTAGTTGAATTGAGTCAAACAAACTCGTAAATAAAAAAAAACGATAATTTTAAATAAATCCGACTGGTTGTTAGTGGCAAACCAAACAACTTTTTTTTTACTGGTATTTAATTTATGTAAACAAAGATTTCGGAGATAATGGCAAAATATTATAAACAACCGAAGCTAAAAAATAGGCTACTTTTAAAAGCAGTTGAAATGAATTATGTAAAAAAAAGATAAAAAAAAAAAGTTTAAAATTACGGTTTTCATTTTAAAATAACTATTTTAATCATATTTTTTTATTTTTCGATTAGAATGTTCACTTTAAAACGGATTTTAAAATCAATGTGTTTTTTTGATATGATAAAAATTTAAAAGTAGTGTTATGTTTTACCAGTCATCATGATGGATCTGTCATCGTCAGCATCACTCATAAATGGATAACTAAGTAAACGTTATTAAACTCTAAGCAAAAAAGCAACAAAATTTTTCAAATAAATCTGAAATCAAATTTTGAATGAATGAGTTCTTTCGCAACTATATTACATTATTCAAGACAATTTTATTTAAATAAACATAACAAAAAGAGCATGTTGTTTACAATAAACATATTTTTGTACATTTTTTACATTTCTTTATAAACATTATTTTGCTTTTAAGTAATTATATTCAAATTTTAAATCCATTTTTTCAAGATACTTTTTTAAAAGTCATTTTCATTTTACGCAATTTTTCAAATGTTTGTGGGAGATAGGGGGCATTGGAGAGAGTGACAATGGCAAAGGGGAGAATAAAAAAGGCATTTGGGAGAGTAAGAATGATTGGGCCAAGAAATTCACAAAATATTTCACCAAAATTTGAAAAAATGTCTCAATAAAAAAACAACAAAAGTTTGTAGATAAAAACTCAATAAAAACTTGTACTTACCAAATAAATATCAATTTATTCAAAAGTATTCAAATTGCGTAGTTAGATTAATAAAAATGTCTGTGAAGTCTGGCTATAGCGACTTGCTGAAAACAAAAACTGCTTGTAAAAAAGTTGGTTTTCATTAAAAATGCGGGAAAACAGCTTGTATAAAGTAGACAATTTTTGTTAGTTTTTTTATGTGTATATGATTATATATATATATATATATATATATATATATATATATATATATATATATATATATATATATATATATATATATATATATATATATATATATATATATATATATATATATATATATATATATATATATATATATATATATATATATATATATATAAATATATTACGCTAAATGTTATGCATAAAAAAATTAATCGTTTAATAAATCAAGTAATCAATAATGAAATAATTAATCAAGTAGTAATGAAATTAAAAAAAATTGAATTTGAAATTTTAATTATTTACTCATTATTATTATTTTTTTAAAGTCTCTGCAAATGAAGTTTATTTACAATACGTATGTATATATATATTTTTTTAATTAGCTTGATCTGAATGGGTGTGATAGATTTGACAATAACGTCATCAATTAAATTGTACTATATAATTACTGAATTTTCAGTTGAAAAAATAAGTTTAATTGCCAGTATTAACTTCAAGAAGTTAAGCTTCCCGGTGGGAAATCGGCTAGCGAATAGCTAGCTACAATAGTAACGATAAAGACAGCGATATGGCCACGAGGATCGCTAGCTTTTTTAAATTAGCGAAAAGCTATCGATATTTGTAAAGATAAAGACAGCTATTAGGCTACGAGGACTGCTAGCTTAATAAGCTAAAGACCCACTGGCTATTGCAGCTAGCGTCATATCGTAATAAAATCGTTGTCTAAACGATTTTAATATGTAGCTATCAATCAGCTATAGATTTTTAGATAATTTATAGATAGCTACAAAGCTACGATATGTAGCTAGCGACACATTGCTACAAAATCGCATTGTTTAAAGTTCAATTATCTTCATAAATATAATAGACTCAACACTAAAAACCAATTTTTTAAAGCTGTTAAAGACATAAGAAAAAAAATAAAATAAGAAAAAAAATCGCTTGAAAATCGCTATAAAGCTAGCTAGTCGTTAGCTTTTTTCCCACTGGGTTACTACATAACATGTTTGATTTGTAAATCCTATCACATTTAAAAATTGGCTTTTGTTTTGACAGAAATCAAAAGTTTTGAATCTAAATTCGTTATATACGTTAAATCTTTATTGACATAAAAACAAATTTTAAGTGTTTTTTTGATTTTAATAATCTCCACCAATAGTAATCGAACGAAACAGGAAATACGCCGAGACCGAAATAAATCGAAATTTGTAGTAAACTAATTTCGAAAGCAAAACATTTCGACAAACATTTTATCGAAATTAAAACCGATATTTCGGCTAAACAAAACTCATTACATAGTTATCTAAAATTAATTTCAATGTTATCTAAAAATGCAATTTTACATTTATTGTTTATTTAGATTTATTGTTTTTTGATCGACTAACCAATGTCCAACTGCTGTTCACATGAAGTTGAAAATTGATAAACTTTGTTCTAGGTCATGTTGAAAGACATGTTGAAAATCGATGAAATTTTGTTCTTCTTACGCAGTGCTGTTATTAGGTACCCGCACGCCCCTAAGTTAGGGTTAGTGGGGACCCAGCGAATCTGTGGGATAGTACTTTTGTGATGAATTTTTTACTTTTAATCCTAAAAAATTTACTACCTACTTTTTCAAGAAATTTTTTATTTTTTATTTTTAACAGTCTATACTATAATCTTTCCAATGATGTATATATTCTGAACTCTTCAATAATCTATATATTAAAAAAATAATAATTACTAAAATCCAGCAATTTGAGAATTTTAACGAAAATTCATTAAAAAAACTAACTTAAAGAAGCCACTACAATTGAGCCTGCCGCATTTAGAATTTCATAAATTGGAAAATTCTTATTGAGGGTATAATTACAAAACCCACTATCAGACATAATGATTGAACCAAGTTACTTTTCTGATTTTTGGCCATCTAATTTCCCACTGTGCACTGTAAGTCATTATATATTACATATATAATTACAGGATTATGCGAAAATATAAATTAAGTTATGCGGAAATATAAACAAATTTATGCGGAAAAATAAAAATTATATTATGCGTAAATGAAAACTTTTTTGATATAAATATTTTCATACTTTCTGACTTTTATTTTCTTATTTTTAATTTTCTTGGTTTACTTTATATTTCTGCATAAAAAAGTTTGTATTTCTGCATTTCCAACAACAACTTGCTTATTTACTTATGTTCGTTAGATGCGGAAAAAGCTTTTGATAGTTACAACAGGAATCTTCTCTTGGATAAACTTTACTTTGATAAAAACGTACCTCTCCAAATAGTTAACATTGTATCTTCTTTATACAACAACAGTAGTGTAACTGTCTCTTACCTTGGCTCTAATTTAATTTCATTTGCTCTTAAGCAAGGTGTAAGGCAAGGATCAAATATGTCGCCCCACTTGTAGGTGACTCTCGATATCTCAAACTTTCAGAAAACCAGTAAAAAGGTTCGAGATAACGAGAGTTCGAGATATTTAGAGGATTTTGCCTCAAACGAGTGCGCAAGGGACCAGAAATAAAGTTCGAGATACACAAAAGTTCGAAATGACGAGTAACGGGGAAAAACTAAAAAACGGAACTGGATTTAAAGACACATATCTCCTTAAAGGAATAAGATTTTATAAAAAGGAAAACTGTTTTAGAAGATATTTTTATTCTAGTTTTTAATTATTTTATGCGTTTTTATATTTAATAAAAAAATTAATAAAAAAATAAATTCAAAACAAGAAGAGATTAGAAAACGTGTGCATGAATTTTATTTAAATTACAAAAATGCTGGTAAAAAGTTCACTTATGACCACTTTAAAGTTGAGAATATACCTAAAAGTGCTATCTACAAGATAATTAAACGTGCTGAAAGTGAATCTGGGTACCAAAGAGTTGAAGGAAGTGGAGTAAAAGCTAAAAAAATAACCTGACAAATATTAAACCAAAAAAAATAAAATAATGATTCTAAAACGCTCTGGCAAACAAAAGTAGTAGCTAGAACTAAGTGCAGTCGATTGTGTCAGAAATTTGAAAATCGTAAACCAATCATTGACGATGAGTCTAATTTCACGTTAAATAACTTCATTATCAATGGAAATGATATATTTAATACTAGTGATGTAAAATCTACTCCATCGACAGTTAAACACCAAACAAAACAAAAGATTCAAAAGAATTTACTTCTATGGATTGTTTTATCTGAAAATGGAAATTCTCAACCTTATTTTGTACCAAGTGGACTCGCTGTAAATAAAAAAATCTATTTAAACAAATGTATTAAGAAAAGACTTATTCCATTCATCAATAAGTATCATTCAGATGGTGCATATGTATTCAAAATATTCCAAAAATTCGATAATTTTTGGAGTACTTTGACCTTAAGACCTTGTCTACAAGAATAATTGGCATGCAGAAAATCTTAAAAAATTACGTTCTAGAATCAAGTATTGCTTTAATAAAATTGATATTGAGCTCATACTGAGAATAGCTCAGTCTATAATAGGCCTAGTTGATAAAGTCAGAAGAAATAGTTTAATTGAGAACAACAAATTATATATTTAAAAACTTGAACAAAAATACTTTCTAGAACATTTTTCCTTTTTGTTTTATCTTATTTATTTAAAGAGATATGTATCTTTAAATCCAGTCTCATTTTTTAGTTGTCACCCGTTAGTCGAGATATCAAGAGTCAACTTTATACATCCAAAAATTACTTTAAGCTATAAAAAACTATAAAAGCTATAAAGTTACTTGAAGCTATATAAAAAAAGATAACTTTGACGGTAATTCTGTACATGTAAACTTCACAGGTGTTGTTGCTTATACTGATGACATCATTCTGCTTAGCTCTACTTTTTCTGAAGGCTTGTAAAAAATTGCAATGTTTACAATAACTTAAACGGCATAAAACTCAATGCTTTCAAAACAGAACTTTTGCTCTCCAAAAAACGACAAGTAACTAATTGCAAGATAACCCTGACAACCATCAAATAATGCCAAATGAAAAACTTAATCATCTGGGCTTCATGTGAGATACAGAAAAATCCAATATTGTCTTACTAAATAGATCAAATATTAACAATAGGGTATCAAATTTTCAAACAATTCTGATTCAATCTGGTATCCGATTCCCACATCCATCTTCAATTATCCAATTATATAAATTTTCAGCAGTTTCAACGCTAACGCATGGTCTGGAACTCTGTGAAAAAAGAGAGTTAACAATGCAAAGACTTGATAAAACTGGAAGAAATGCAGTTAAGTCTTTTTTTAATGTATCCAAGTATAGCAAAATCTATGTAAACTCTCTATTTAAAGTTCGAAAGATTTCAACGAACATACAATAAAATAAACCCATTTATCCGTCTATTAAATAACAAAGTAACTTTTAAAATTGTCAATTTCCAGAGTAGCTATTG